CCCCCCCCCCCCCCCAACCCCCCCCCCCCCCCCCTGCCTGGCCCCACCCCCAGTGGCTGCTCCTGCCAGCCCATAATCCTGGCTATTAAAAATAAATAAATAAATAAGCCCTGCACTCACTGGCTCTGGCAGTGGCAATCAGGTCCTCTGGCTGCCCTGATTGGTGAGTACAGGAATTTTTTTTCCCTTTTTTTTCCCCCACTTGCTGCGAGACTGGTGCCAGTTGAAGCGCCCATCGGGAGCAGTGGGGGACGACTCTGCCAAGAGACCTCAGAGCCCCCACAGCCACTGCTACAGCCAGTGAGTGTGTGGTTTGGTTTTTTTTCAATGCCAGCAGGCTGGGGTCAGGCAGGGGACGGGGATGGGCAGGGCAGCCATGGAGGCTTCTCCTGCAGCCTCCCCTGACAAGGGAAAGGCAGACACAGCCAGAGGAGCCATGGGAGAACCTGCAGCTACCCAGATGTGCCTGCCACTCCCCGGCCAATCCGAATCTCCGAATCTCTCTGAATCTTTTCCAAATTGATTAGGAAGATTCAGATTTGATTCAGACCTTTTAATGGGTCTCCTAATTCAGTTCAGATTCAGAGACTCAGGCCAAATCTCCTCCGAATCGAATCGGCTACCGAAGCTTCACACAGCCCTACTATTCAATCCCTATGTGCACCAATCAGCTATTAGATAAAAGGGTCAAAAAGTCCTGCTGAAGCACCCGATCTATATAGACATTGAGCAAGCTGGGTCCAACTAATGTGATGCCTCTTCTGGCCATGCGCTGCACTCAGTGTGGAGGCATACTGAGCTTAAAATAAAGCTCTGTTTTTTTCCCCTCCCACATCTGTAAGCAGCCACAGAAATCAAGCTGCTTCAGATATCCTGGTGAATACAATGTGTCACTGCTCCCACTAGTGGTAGCTGGAAACCCATTATATTAACATAGGATTAAGTCTGATTCACTCAGTATGTGTCATCTCCTGCTTTATTAAAAGGTTGCCTGTAATAAACAATCAATTTCATGAGTCCTTTCTGTGAAGTCTGATAACAAATTTGAGTGGACTACCAAAAAGAAAACACAACAGCCCTCATACTCTTTTAATGTCTGGCATGGATATACTTCCTCTTTTCAAAGAAAAAAATTGCACTAGTGATACTTTTGAGACCTACCTTGCCCAACCCTGGAGTATCTTTTACTTTGCTGACTGCCCTCAGCAAACATGGTGGTGCTGGGGGTGGAGATGTCTGCAGGATACTGCTGAAGCTGGTGGAGAAGAGAGGAGAGTCAGGGACAGATGATGTAGATGGCCGATGTTTCTTCTTTTTAGAAGAAAGGTTCAACTTCTGGGCAGCTCTGTGGGGAAAAAAATGACAAGAGTGAGGTATAAAAAATGACTTCAGCAAACAGTCAATTATTATTAACGTATTTGTACCTTCACATGTACAAAGACTCCTCAGTTTTGACTTCATTGACCCCAAAAGATTTAAAGGTCTCATTTACAACCATTTCTTACTGGCATAATTGCACTGGGTTTGGTGATCTGCAGTAAGTGGGATCAGAATTAAGCACCCCTACCTTGTCACTGTATTGTCCTCCAATTTAGTCTGCAGGAGCTCTCCTGAATCTACAGTTCAATAATTACTCATTCAGCCATTTATGTTATAAAATAAAGCTCTATCAATTAAATGTTTTGCTATTTGTGTTCACAAAGACTCATTTGTCACCCAGAAGCCTTTGGTTAGAAAATGAGTATTTGTGGAATTTTTGGATGTAAGTAGCCACTATTATGTTAATTATGATGAAATGTTCAGGTGAATTAACTGGAGTGTAAGGAGCCTTGAACTAGTTATTTTAAAATTCTCACACCTCATAAAACATGAATCAGTCTGAAATCTGAACATGTGGTGACCCAAGTTATGCTTTTTGCAAGATGGAGAAACTAGAGTTGTATTAACAATTTAGTAAATTAAATCAATTAGACCTTGATTTAGCAACTTAACATTGAACAAGAATGCTGTTGTTTGCCTAGGCTCTGAATCAAAAAGCTAAAGGGTTTTTGTATATTAGAATGACAGTTTTATACCCTGTTGCAATTTAAAAATAAATTGGTCTTTTTTTTTTATAATTTGGAAAGTTTTCTAATTTTGACAATTAAACTAGTCCTTGTGATTTTGCTCAGACACCCTTCCCCCCTGCATACCCATACACAGTCTATATTGGTGCCAGGTAGGCACCCAAAATCAGTGACAATGCTCATGTCAAACTTCATAAACTAATTAAATAATTTTGCATCAAAGATTTTGAAGAGCGAAACATGAGTGTATTCACACTCATCTCAGCTTTGAGCAGTTCTCATCTTTATTGAGTAATTTTATCTGTTAATCCCATTTTACCTCATAATAAATTAAGGAAGAGAGAAAACAAGGCCAATGCAGTCACTGACTCATTTTAGTCCTATATATATATATACATACATACATACATACATACATACATACATACATACACACACACATAGTTGGTCCAATAAAAGAGAGCACCTTAAGAAATCCTTGCCTCTTGTGTAATTTCTGAACCATCATGGCTACAACATCACTCTGCTAGTACTTTTCCTGATTTATCACCTAACCTTCCCTTTTATGACCTTTTCTGGAAAAATAAAGCCTAAAATGGGTATCAACAAGAAATGTACCTTTTTTTAATTAAAATGTTCTTTGACTATGAGTTGACTCTTGACTCTGAGTTGACTATGTTTTACTTTGACATGCTCATTGAAGGATTTATGAATCCCAGTTTTTAAAATGTTTCCTGGCCTAGCTAGAGTCACATTTTTCTTTCAAACAAAATCTTACACTGCACACAAGTATGAGGCTGTGCACAATCTCAGCTATGAGCCTTAAAAAATCCACTGCTGTATGTACATGCAAACTCAACAGTCTGCTTTTAAGGATAGGTAACTTCTAACACGTCAGGCTAAATTACACCCTCAATTTCACTCATACAACCCCATTATCTCAAGTCCTGGGTGAAAGCCAAACTCTCAGTGAGCGTGTCTCCTGAGCAGCATTGTCTAAGTCAGTTGAGCCATGCTCTCTTCCTGCCAATTTACTGCTCTCCAACATCAGGTTGTTCCAGTTTCTATCCTGATTGCTTAATACCCATAAACTACTTCTTGAACCAATGAAGTCCATAGCTGACATTTTTCTAAAAGAACAAAAAACAGGAGGATAACTGGCCTTTTCAAAACCTTGGAACTATATCCTGTTTTGACAGTTGTAACCTTTGAGATGGCATTCAAACAGAAGAACCTGGATTTTTTTTTGGCCTGCAATGGTAAAATGTATGTAAGAGCAGCAACATGCTATATCTCTCTGCTTTATCCTGTTTTTTCCAAGGAGAGAAAAAAGTGCACTGGGTTACATTTGACTGTTTTACACTGTTTCTTTCAAGGAGAAAAAAAAAGCAAAGGGAGGAGGACTATAGTAAAAAAAAAAAAAAAATCTGTGACAGTCTCAGATCTTGCTAGTTTTGAAATGTGATCAAAAAAGCAGTAACTAGATAATTCCCCAAGCACTTCAATAGACGAGTATGTTTAAACTGGCTTTAGGCTGCCAGATGATAGTAGCTAGTATGACATTCATTTCTTTGAAAAGTGTATGCATGACAGACCTAAGAGGATTAGTAATGACAGCTAACCACAACTTGGTTGTGTAGTCCAGTAGGGAAGGCTGAGGTACCAAACCACCGCTTTTAGGAATGTTAAGTTGATGGTACTGCCTCATTCACTCTGAGGGCCATGACAAATCGGAGTCTGCTGGATATCTACTTGCATGTGATTAGTGGAGACGGCATAAGACTAGGACTCAGGGGACCAAGACTTAGAACCCAGCTCTGCTAATGACCATTTGCATGACCACGGGCGACTGAATGGAAGGAGTGACTTTCTGTACCCCAGCTTTTCCTTTCACCATTTACCTGTTCTGTCTGTTCAGGCTGTGAACTTTTTGAATACGAGCAGTCTGCTTCTTGATATCTGTATAGGGTCTAGCACAACTGATCTCAATTTGAGCCTCTAGTCGCTACTGACATAATAAATAGTAATGGAAGTGTGGCTTGACATATAACCAGGAAGCTGATCCTACTCATATTGATCTTACTATCTCATCTGATCCCAGTGATCCAAGTGTGTGTCCAACCCTGCACTCAACTCTGCTGCTGAGGATCCCATGAACTGTTTTATACCTCTGTACAAACCAGAATGTTCATACTTATCTACACAGGGACACAAAAGGAAATTAATCCAAATCAACTTTTAAAGTGTCTTAACTGCCTGAAACCCTTGGGTAGATGCTGTCCTTGGCCATTATTACAGTGGCTTTATTTTAAACTCAGCATAATCGATTTCTAAGTAACTTAAAATAAATCAATTGAAGTCCATTGTAATAGTGAATGACACATTACTGTTTCATAGTATCATAGTTGTTAGGGTCGGAAGGGACCTGAGCAGATCAAGCCCGCCCCCCTGCCATGGCAGGAAAGAGTACTGGTTCCAGATCCTAGCTGCCCTGACTTCGAAGTAGCGCCTCCTGATATCTAGCCTGTATCTACCCTCTGCCAGTTTGTGACCATTATTCCTGGTCACTCCTGGTAGTGCTCGGGGGAACAGGGACTCCCCCAATGCCTGCTGGCCCCTCTGACTAGTTTGTAACAGGTCACTAGATCCCCCCTCAGCCTTCTCTTGTGGAGGCTGAACACGTTCAGGTCCCTT